AATTTTTTATTTACTACCTCTGTATTTTTTGTTTAAAAAATTGATTCTTATTTTTTTTTTTTTTTTTTTTCAAATGTAAATATTTTTTTTTTTTTTTTGTCTGTCAATGTCAATGTGAAGCCAAATCAAATTATTCATAAATCCCTATCTGGAAAATATTATATGAAAGACTGTTTCCACCTCTAAATAAAAAATAAAAAAAGGCAATTGCGACTATTTATCTCACAACTTTGTCTTTTTTTCTCAGAATTGTAAGTTTATATCTTGCAATTCTGACTTTATAACAAGCAATTCTGACTTTATATTTCTGACTTTATAACTCGAAATTGCGAGTTTATATAATTATGAGTTTATATCACGCAATTCTGAGAAAACATGTCAGAATTACGAGATATAAACTCACAATCGCAAGTAAAAAAGTAAGAATTGTAAGATAAAAAGTCACATTACCATTTATTTATTTATTTAATTCAGTGGCAGAAACGGGTTTCCATAATTATTAAACAATATGTATAAAAAAATAAAAATAAATAAATACTGTTCTTTTAAACTTTCAATTCATCAAAAAATCCTGAAGAAATCTTGGTTTTCATAAAATTAATAAGAAGCACAACTGTTTTCAACATTGATAATAATAAATGTTTCTTGAGCACCCAATCAGCATATTAGAATGATTCCATGTGTCACTGAAGACTGGAGCAATGGCTGCTAAAAAAAAATTTGAAATATATTCCAATAGAAATCAATAATTTCAACAATAGTTCACATTGCTGTTTTTAATGTATTGTCACTTCTTTCAAAAACATAAAAAAAATAAAATAAAACTTACAGACCCCAACTTCATGCCTCTAAACGACAGACGTTTAAGAAAAATTGCAATTGCTGGTTGATGATTAATTCCTGCATTTAAATTCAGTTGGCACTCTCTAAACCTTGAAGATCAAAACCAGATCTGATGCATTTTTACTTTTCCATTATTACTAAACAGATAATATTTCATACACTTAATATTTAGAGTTCATGCACATATATAATCAGCAGGCCTTCAATACGTCCGTCTGATAAGAGGAGCAATGCCAGAGCCTCTGTGCGGAGAGTTGAGCATAATAGAGCTTCAGATAAATGGGTGGGCAAAGCTGTTGAAAACTGTATCCATTTGAAAAGGAAGCTCTGTATCCTGATAAAGCCAGTCAATCTGAGTAGCCTAATCTGTCTCCCTAATATTGTTGGCTTTTGAAATGGCCTGCTAAAAAGTGCTCATCTCCTTTCTCATTAAAGCAGACCAAATGGGAAAGACAGTCATTGCTCTCTCTCTTTCACTCCGTCAACTTCTCTGTTCACATCAGTCCGCTCTATTAACCAAGAAAAAAAGCCTAAACAGATGTGTGATGGTAAACATTCACCCTTTAAAAACAATTAACACATGTTTTACTCAGTCAGGCAACAATTATGTGGAGTTACTGGAATCAGCTACTGACGCCTTTATTGGATTTCATGATATTTCCAATCTATTGGTGGTCAAAGAGAAATACAGCACAATCAGAAATTAGCCAATGGAACACAGCAGTTCAGTTAATGACGTCAATTTGTAGGCCAACCTGGAAGGCTATTTCGCCATGGGGTCCCTTACGGTGTTTAGAATAGAAAAGGTTTTTGATTTTTGAGTAAAATAAGGTCTATGGTAAAATATGGTTAAATTACATGGAGCTACAGTTGTCTGATTCTTTAAGCACTTGTGAACTCACATCCTTGAGTTGTAGTGCTTATTTAGCAAAGAAAAACAGCAGCTTCCACTGTTTAAGATATGACTGGTTGTAATGTATGTAAACAAAATGGGAAAATCTGAAGTAATTCTAAAAACCGACTGGAAATTTCTGATCCGATGGCTTGAAAATGCTAATTATTTTCCAGGTTTTACAACTAGAAATTCAACAGCTCCACAGGTGGAAAATAGATTAGTTCGTTAGCATATGTTAGACTACTATAATTATCATAGCATAGCAGTCACACTAAGCATTCTAAAATAACACCAAAGCTCCTTGTAAGCAAAGTAAACATGATTTACAGTTTCTTTGAAGCATACATAATTCAGCTTGTACTCTACCACGAGCCACCACATAATGAGTTCATATAAAAGCAGCAAATTCCCCTCAAACTGATCAGCACCCAGTCACAACGACACTCCTCAGAGAGGCTCTTCAACTGGCTCTAACTTGAGGCTTCTTGTTTCCCAATGATTGACTCTCACATTACAGTAGGTGGGGTTTTCCTACATGGTCTTCAGACCTGTGTCTACCTGTTTGAGGAAAGACTATTGGACTAAAGTATGGTGCTGAAGGTTTTCTGGGCACACCAAGCAGGATGCTTGAGAAACAGATAGAAACGGGGCTGCCTACCAGCTGGGCCTCACCCACGTTTCGAATCCTCCATAATTAATAAGAGAGGAAGTTGATTTGAGTTTGCCCACCTCATCATGACCTAATTATCAACACGAGGTTGGCTGGGCGACACTGCAGACACTCACTCCTACACATGGATAAACTCAGTTGGTTTGGAAAGAGACTAAAATATTTTGTGTTTTCAATTGGCGCATTCCCTTAGGCAGTTTACTTGGTTTGAAATAAGCAGTTCTTCAGTGCAAATTATTCTATTATGGGGTGTTTTGTGTGTCACACACCTCTGTTGTCCTTGAGGGAGAAACTGTGGTTGTTAGCGACCTCAGGGGCCAGGCTGAAGTGGAAGTGCTGGCGGTGGGCCATTTCGTCCTTATCCGTAGCACTAACTGTCTCAATGAGCTGTGGAGCAGAGAGTTCAAATCAGGTCATGTTAAACTGGTTAAAATCACCAGGGCATGCCTTTAAATAAATGGATGCCTCTTTTATGTCTTTTTCTTTCTCTCTCTCTCTTTTTCTGTTACTCATTCAAACTTGCAACTGCCCAACAAAGGGAAAGTGAACATTGCATTGATTAAATTTAGACATCAATATAATCTTTTATAGTGTTCATTTAAAAGTTTTGATGGAAGTTTTGACCTCTTTTAGGCATTAGCTAATTCATTAACAGTTTCTTGTACCTATTTAAAGACAGTCATACATTTCATAGATACAGGGATCAAATAAGTGTCAATAAGTTATCTAAGCCAATACGTCACCACTATACTCAAATATTATCTGGAAGCACTTCCATATTTTTATGGAAACCATAAATGCATTTTTTCAGGATTCTTTGATAAATAGAAAGGACAAAAGAACAGCATTTATTTGAAATATAAATATTTTGTAATATTATAAATAGCTTTATTGTAACTTTTGATGCATCCTTGCTGGATAAAAGTAATTAATAAAATCTTACTGATCCCAGACTTTTGAATGGTAGTGTACAGGTATGCACTGATAACATATACACAATACCTTACTAATATATATCATTGTTATTCATATTTACAAATATTAATGAACCTTACTGTAAAGTGTTGCTAATTATTGCTAAAAATATTTAATTGGTCCTCATAAAAAATTGTTAGTTGACTTACCTTTCCAGGGCTGACATTCTCACAGACAAGCACTTCGTTTTGAGCGGCAAATTCTGGAGCATTGTCATTCACATCTTTGACTTTGATATTGACTCGTACTTTTGCATCTTGGTGATGGCCACCTGGGACAACAACAGAATTTAAAAAGAGACAGCTGTGATATAAACGAACGCTATTGGTTATTTTAAAAAAGGGGCAGGGCTGCTTGATATGTCCCGCCCTGTCTTCCTGTTTCAGTTAAAATGACGTCAACACATAGAGTAACGCTGCGTGTTTCTAAGCATTTCAGGGGAGTTTTAAGATTGATCATTAATTCAGTGTGCTGTAAAACTTTAGGTAGCCCTTAGTGGAAGGACGTGAGTGACAAGACACAACCAGAATTGCCAAAGCAGCCCTGAAAAAGTATGATTCACTCACATCTCCTATCTGAAATGATCAGGTCTAGTGAATGCCTTGATATTTTGCTTTCAGACACAAGAGTCTTCCACATAACCAAAGAATATTTTTGATGTAGTTTTCAAGTCTTTAGACATGAATTTTTGATGGTCGAAATTATCAAAGACAGTGGAATGAAAAGGAAAATGTATCACACAGAAACTTTGAATTCAACCAGAAACAAACACTAACTGCTCCTCAAGGAAATCACATACCCACAAAAATAAATATATAACATTTTAGGGCCAATTACACACTGTTCACTGAACTGAGGGTATCATTTGAAGTTTGAAGAGGTGTAATCTGTGGCTGTCTCTTCTGAAATCATGCAGGAGGCCTGGCGACACTACAACCACATAAGAGCAGGGTGGAGGGAGAGCTGAAGAGCTTGGTTAGGGAGAAAATGCAACACGCAAGTCTACTCTGTTATTTAAAAGCCCAGAAAATATATGAGTGACCTACCAATCTCTGTAGCACTGACGGAGATGTTGTGCCAAGCCTGTGCTTCCCGATCTAAAGGCCTGGTGGTCTTAATAATGCCGTCTTCAGTATTAATGGTGAAAAACTCTTCCAAGTCTGTGTAGCGTGGGATCATATATCTGGGATGATATATATAAAAAAAAAAAAAAATCAATACATTTTTTTTTTCTTTCTTTCTCAGGCTACCTTTGAATTGTATCTAATAAATTAAACTTCCCTGAAGAGTACAACATTTTAATGACTGTCATCAGACAAGTACTAAGCATACTGCTGTACTGACAAAAAACAGCCAAAGCAAAATTAATCTGATTCTTTTTACAGGAAGCGGTTGCTACCTGATGGGGTTGTTCATGATGTCGGTGTCTTTGGCATGCACACGGCCAACCAGAGTGCCTGCCGGGGCGTTTTCCTCCACCTCAAAGTTGTAGCCGGGAGCCATGAAGGTCGGGGGCTCGTCTGCATCTTCTACTGATATTTTCACAATGGTCGTATCTTTGTATGGACCCCAGGCAGCGAAACGGGAGTCAATGTGTGTGTTGGAGGCTTCTACCTTCAGTGTGTACGATCGCTTGGTCTCAAAGTCCACAGTCTGAAAACAAGAGGTCAGGAAACAAATTAGTTATTCAATTTGATGGAAGCTGTCAATATTTAAAAAAAAAAAAAAGTTACTTTCAGGAATCACTCTACATGTTTGAATATGAAAATGGCCCCTCTGTCAATTGATTCTGGACTGCATGGAGAACCAAAGCTGAATTAAAAGATAAATGAGTCTGAGCAATACAATAACCATTAATAGATTACCAATACATCAAGAGAAATGAAACAGAAAAAATAAACACTAGAATATATCTAACAAAAATAAATAAATACATAAATAAATAATAAGGGAAAAGTTTAAAAGAAGCAGACTAGAGGGCACTGTTGTTATACATTTGGGAAGGAGACTAAATCTACAAAGAAGCTCAAATGAGAAAGCATTCAAATATCAAGGCTCTTGCAGACATCTTTCAGTTACAGACTGCACTTCTTTACAATTCTCAAAAGGCACAATTCTCATGCAATTTAGGTTCAAGCAAAAGAAACAGGACAAAAAAAAAAAAAAACGGTGCTCAAAAGCAGCCAGTCATTTGGTCCGCTCGTGTCCTCCTGCATCACCAGTTTTCACATGTCCGCCTGTTTTCTGATTAGCCTGTCTCACCCGTAACACCTCTCGGTCACAAATTACCAAGTTACCAAGTGAGAATCACACATAAAGGGTACATATCAACTCAAACACACACCCACACGTACACATGCCAGGTAGCTGTGTGTTAATTGGTTGAAAGTTGTTTTTCTTGCTTCCTCGTTCTCTTCTCCCCCATTTTCTTGTCTTTTCTTTTCTTTGGATCTCTTTAATGGAGCTGCCAACGCTGGAAACAAGTATGACCCAGTTATTTCCTCCAACAGGTTGGGAACTATTCTGTTTATCCTGACAACAGCAGTCCCCCTCTCTCTCTTTTTATCCTACTACAATTCTTTATTTGGCACCTAATAACTCCCGACTCGAACCTAATCAGGAGCAGATAATATTCACAATAATGCTGCATCTCCTCTTAATATTCAGCCTGCGTCGCCTGCCCGCAGTTGAAACAGAATACTTGATTAAAACCCTGGCAATTCCGTCAGTAATTTCGACTTTCATTTTCAACATGCTTTGAAGAGCAAAAGGTGATGATTTCCCAAGAGGTGTATCAGCGAGGCATTGTGTTATTGAGTGAAGCAGCATTGCATCAAGCTGATTGTTGTTGGCATGGCATATTGTCTGTTCTCTCACCCTTCTGCATGATTCATCCCCTCCTAATACCCTTCTCGGCTGAAAAAGCACTGCTGTGGCCACGACGTTTAAAAAAACAAAACACAAAAAAAACAAGCGAGGCTGACAAAATCCCCCTCCAATCATTCCTGAACCATACGTACCTCCTTTACACAAACAACATTCACAATATGTGACCCTGGACCACAAAACCAGTCATAAGGGTCATTTTTGTTAAATTGAGATTTATATATCATCTTAAAGCTGAATAAATAAGATTTCCGTTGATGTATGGTTTGTTGGGATAGGACAATATTTGGCCGATATACAACTATTTGAAAATCTGTAATCTGAGGGTGCAAAAAAATCTAAATACTGAGAAAATCGTAACTTTTTTTGTGTTCAAAATTTACTAAATTTATATAATAAGCGAGTACACCATGAATCCATTTTCAAAACCATGTTTTTGGCTTGTCCTCCACCGGCCTCGCTCCGTTCCCACGGCTCTCGGCCCCGCCCCTCTCGTCACATAACGATACACCTATAATATAATAAGTGTTTATATTCAGACTATTTTAGACTGGTTCAGGTAGGTACCGCTGCGGAGTAGCCAGGTACCTGTGTGATTCGTCATAGACATAAACAGAGAGAAGTAGCTCCGGCTACAATGTTCTTCCGCAAGACGCACGCAGTTCTGTTTATTAACCGCTAGAGTGCCAAAAGTTATGGACTGCAACTTTAATATCTTAATAGACTTTTGGCATAAAAGAAAAATCGATAATTTTGACCAAAACATATTGTTGGCTATTGCTTCAAACATACCCTTGCTACTCATGACTGGTTTCATGGTCCAAGGTTACATATATTATATTATATTACATTATATATTAACATAGCACCGGCATCAAGGGGTAAACAGGTCTACAATGAGAAAAATTACAACAAATTTTAATTCTTGACTATAAGAATGCATATATGTATACAAAAGAAGCAGAGAAGGGCCCTGGAAAAAGCTTGTTGCGTTCAAAACTGCTGTTCTTTCTAAAACACACAGGACACTGAGCCATACCTGAAAGCATGAAAAATGTTTCACCCCACAAACGTCTTTGTAAGAGGCCACAACACTGCCACAGCAATCAGAACTCCAGGTGATCTGGAATTAAGTTTTTTGCACCATGGTAACAAACGTCACACTGATTGAGTCCACACACATTCATTCACACACACACACACATGCACACCAATAGATATTGCTGGATTAATAAATGTCTGACAGAGCGCTCACAGATCTCCTTTCCATCCTGGAAACGGGGCAAAGCCAATTCCAGCCTGTGACAATCCTAAATGTGAAAAATGGGCTTCTTATTTCTTTACTTTTGATTTTCTCTGATAGTTCAGAGGTATTTGTTCCTCACAATTACATTTCATACATAGAAATGCATTTCTGGAGCCACCAATATACACACACACAATTCCAGAGACAGCCATTCAGAAACCGCTGAATGAAAAATGTAAACCTTTCACAGTTTTATTCAGCAATTGTTAGTGGATGCAGTGACTAAAACACAGATATTAAACATAGACTGGGTGCTCACATTTGTGACCCTGGACCACAAAACCAGTCATAAGGGTCATTTTTGTTAAATTGAGATTTATATATCATCTTAAAGCTGAATAAATAAGATTTCCGTTGATGTATGGTTTGTTGGGATAGGACAATATTTGGCCGATATACAACTATTTGAAAATCTGTAATCTGAGGGTGCAAAAAAATCTAAATACTGAGAAAATCGCCTTTAAAGATGTCCAAATGAAGTCCTTAGCAATGCATATTACAAATCAAAAATTAAGTTTTTTTATATTTACGGTAGGAAATTTACTAAATATCTTCAAGGAGCATGATCTTTAATAATATACTAATGATTTTTGGCATAAAAGAAACATCGATAATTTTGACCCATACAATGTTTTTTTTTGGCTATTGTTACAAATATACCCCAGCGACTTAAGACTGGTTTTGTGCTCCAGGGTCACATATGCTGATGCTTCACAGGATTACACAGCTCAAACAGCAATAATTCTTGACTGCATATGTTTTCCTTTCTTCAGTATTGTTCCTTTCTAATGATCATTTCGTGGATGATCATTTGACATCTTGAGCTGTGGGGGTGAAGGGTAAAGGATCACCAGCAGGTGTCAGTGTTACGGCTGCAGACTGGGTCTCTTTGGCTCTCAGGCTAAAGCTGGTTAGTGGCTAGCAGGCTTCTCGGGGTGATGTGAGTTTTCTCTCAGCCACGGGAGGTGGGGGTATGGACGGCCTAACCCGAGTGGCTGTGTAACTGTCTGCATAAGCCAGGGCCTCAGAGCAGGGGAGGAATAACCCGGGCAGCACGGCCCAGATGAGCTTCTCTCACACGGACAGAGAGAAGCAGCCATGAAAGTCAATGCTCATCTCAGACATAATAGGAAAGGGATGGGCTATGTCATTGCAATTACAGAGTGAAAATGGTGAAAAATCACTCCAGCTGCCCAGCAGTCCTGCACTTGCACTCACAACCTTGCATATTTGAGCGTCCATGCAAATAGGAACACAAATGACCAAGCAAATGAGCTAAATGCAAACAATTCCTCAAGAAGAAAAAAACAAGAGAAATTCACTATAACACTATCTGACAAGCACACACTTGCTTCCATTCACAATTGCACATATGTGACTAGAAGTTGCATTCACACATACTTCTTTGGCACTCTCACACACTTCACCTTCTTTAGTTTGATGACTGCCTCCTGGGTCTCCGAATCCTTGGTGATCTCGAAGAGGTTCATGCCGTCTCCCTCCAAGATTCGATAATCCACCAGTCCGTTCTCTGCCTGATCAGGATCTCTGGCCTTCAATCGACCCACCTCCTCACCGGGAACCTTGTCCTCTGAGACCGCCATGGCGTAAACACCTGTGAAGAAGAGTAGTGAGTCCCGGGAGCTCTCAGGGGGGGGGGGTAATATGGTTCATAATATCTCTGAGTCACAGGCAAGAAAAATCATGATCACACTGCCCACTCGGGAATGGAGAGCCGGTTCGCTGCATGATACCGGTGCTACCTTCATCTAGCTGCCTGGCACCTGTGAGCTCTTAGCTGGTGAGAACAGGAGTGCATGTGTGAAATTTAAATGTGTGTGCTCGAGTGAGCCTGTACGTGTATGTGGGTGGGTGTATGAAGACTATAACCGACACCTGCCTGAGGCTGGAGCTCGCAGAAGGACCATATGGCTCCACTCCCTGTCTGCTGAGAGCCAAAGGCTTCAGCTGCCTTTACAAAAATAACTCCCACATGGGGTGGAAGTCCTCGCGAAGAAAGGCCAGGGTGTGCAAAGAGGTCTGCTTTTTTCAGTCAGACCTTCGACGGACCAAAAAAGAAAAGGAGTATTTTCATTTACACTTTTTTTGGGAGCTAAGTTTGAAGCGTGTCAAAGTCCGTTTCGGATAGGGCAAACAACTCTGGGAATCGATATCGAGCCTAAAAGAGACAGCAGACTACTCAAGCTGCATTTTTTCGGCGTGAGCAGAACCACATTAAATATCTGAAGCTCACATTCTCACCTGTGCGCTGAGCCAAACTGCTGTCCACATTAAAAAAATAAATACATTTGTCTTGCACCTGAAATGTTCCATCACGAAGTCGGCTCAAAACTATCGGTGAGCTGGATTTAAGGATCTGCTTGCCTAAGCTACTCATTGTGGGCAATAACCTTGCAATGTACAGTTTATTTTGGCCCATGAATCACGGTTTCTACCAGCACCAAAAACAGGGCTTGTGTAGGAGCCGGAGCGCTGGGACCATGCTGCATTCTGCTTAAGTCAGGGAAAAGCTTGAAGGCCCTTTGCTACTGAGCCTGAGGCTCCGAGTGCACAAAAAAGCAAAAGCTCGGATGAGATTTATAGGGTCGATTTCTGCAACAAAAGACGGATAAAATCTATGTGCTTAGTGTGCAGTTTAATGTCACATTGGAAACACATGAGCGCTAGCTCACACTAGCCCGTTCCTGCTCTCATCTGTATACACAAACACGGTGAATATTTCATCCAGCCTTTCATGCTTGAGAAACTTGATGTCATCGTGCTCGAGCAGAACGTTTAAAGAACATTTGAATAATTAAGTTGTGTTAACATCTGTAGCTCATATTAGCAGATTCTGACTTGGTCCCTGAGGGCTTGTCAATGTTAATATGTGGTTTGAGGATAGCTAAAAGCAAACTCTCGTCCCTTGGTGCATGCATAGCAGAGGTCAGAGTGATGTTGTGTGTAGCCAGCCAAAGAGCAAGGCATGGTCACAGTGACTATAATAAAACCTGACAAGGATAGAGGGGGACAAAAATTATGGATGGAGAAGAGATGGAGATAGGGAAAGAGAGAAAGACAGAGAAAGAGGGAACATTCACAGCTGGAAGAATGGATTCTCTCACCCTGAGCGAACTTCGGAGGGTTGTCATTGACATCAGTCAGGGTGATTTTAACCTGAGTGGTTCCTGACAGACCACCCATGTGTCCACCCATGTCCTTGGCCTGGATGAGGACATCGTATTCCTGCCTGGCCTCCCTGTCCATGTTGGGAAGAGCTGTTCGAATGATTCCTATAGACACATAAAACATATAAAACACAAGATGAAGTAAGATGCACCCCAGACCATTCATTTATGACCATCCATTCATTGATTTATTGAATGCTTAAGCTCTTATTAATTGACTTGACGTTTCATCAACAGATTTATTCCATCTGAACAGTTCGAATAGATTTTTGTGGTAGCAAATATTGTTATTTTGAAGTGAAAGCCCTTGAAGTTAGAAAACATCCAGTAGTTAATATTGCAGTGAATTATATGCACTATTTAAACATTTTCATTGCTCATTACAACCTATAGGCTAACTCATTTAGTCTAAATGTATAAATTATTGCTATTACAACAATCTGTTCAATTAAAAGTTAAATGAAGTTGCATAACTGTATTCTGTTATTTGATTTGACTGTCATTACTCATTAAACTAATCTGTCAAAATGCATGCATTTGCATAGAATAACTGATTTAGTATTTCAAATGAATGACTCCTTATTAAAAAACAAACATTAAATATATCAGATATATTTTACATATTTTGTGTGAGCTTAATTAGCAAATGTATTGTCCTTAATATAGTGGATCATCGTCATTTTCAGTTTCATCTGTAAATATGTTACAATTTACAGTAGTTACATTTACAAGCTATAGTAAATGCATACTACTCTTAGGGTGCCTTACCATCTTGTACATCTCCTACCATGTACATGTCATACACAGACAGCTTTTATCCAGTAGGGCAACTGACCTTGGTCTTACACTTCAGGATAGTGCTGTCGAATAAAATTCTAGCTTTCAACTGGCACTTTACTCTTCCAGTCATCTTTCAGACCAGAAAAATATGTGCCTATTTTGTTCATTCGTGAGGTCCTTGAAGCATTTAACACAAATGCACTATTAATAGTTATATGATGGTTTTGTTAGTACCACACAGATGAGCAGCACTGAACAGGATCGAGCAAAACATCCAGCTTCAGTTTATTAGCAGCATCTGCTCCATCTCCTCTGACTGCTGTAGGGGATTCCACTGCCACTGGGACATTGTAGGACTAATGTGACCACGGGTTAATTTAGCTCAGAGAATACAAGGTGCTCTTGCAAAGCGTGAAAGGACTACCCTCTTCATTCCCAATCCTCATACCGTGGTAATTGAATTGAAGCCAAACATGATTTGAAATTGCACATGATGCATATTTGAATGCATGGCTGGCTCCACAGAACTAACACCGAACCAGTGAAAATATAATTACTGATGACTGTACCTGTTTGTGGCTCCACAGAAAAATAAGGCTGGCCCTGCAGGATGCTATAGACCAGCCTGGCACTGTTGCCGTATGTAGGGTCATCTGCGTCTGTAGCTGTGACCTTTATCACTGAAGTACCTGAAGAAAAAGTACATCACACATCAGCCATGATAGAGATCGCTTTTGGATATTGCACAGATCTCACAGTCTAAGATACACCTCCCATCGAAATCCACAACAAAGATAAGAGAGAGACTAGCAACTTGGATATTTCTCAGGTTATAAAGTTGATCTTGAATAAACTTTTTTAAAGGCAACGAGAGTATTTCAGAGGCTAAAGCTAGATGATACAAACCACTGCCTCGGGTTTGTGCATGCAATGTTTTGCCTTCAGCCAGGCTAATTTCCATGAAATCTGATTCTGTTTACACACTAAAATCAATTTACCCAGCATGTTTACCAACTTGTCTAAAAATATAAGGAATTGACCTGGACGAAACTAGCCTTTCGAGGTTCCCAGTAGTATTATGTGAGCTATGAACAGGGGGTGGGGTAACAGATCGTTACCCTGTGACAGGAGAGCATTACTGATGATGTATTGCACAGTGAAAATGCAGTAAAAACAAACCCATGCACACAAACAAATTCATGCGCACACGCACACACACCCAGACAAGCCAGCAGTCACAAAAAAAACAGTTGCAACAAGAGTACTGACTCACTTTCTGAGAGTCAGATTTCAGCTCTTTTGAATAATGCATGAGGAACAAGCTGTCAGGTGTGGGCTCACAGAGAAAGAGAAGAAGCTGACAAATATGCTGTTCCAGAGGCTCGCACTTACCAACGTTGGACATCTCAGCCACTCGTGCATAGTAAGGGCCGTGAAGGAACTCCGGTGGATTGTCGTTGATGTCCTGCACCTTGACAATGAACTCTGAGGGAGGCTCAAGGGGTTTGTTGGTGTCTCGATCCACAGCCTGGGCGGTCAGGGTGTACTGGGCCTGTTCTTCTCTGTCCAGTGTCTTTGTGGCATGAATGTTGCCCGTTTTGTCATCGATGACAAAAATAGTGCCTGCTCCCTCCCCTGAAAGGATGTATTTAATGTTTCCATTTCCCGAATCCACATCCGAATGAAGCTGGAAGAAGAGAAAGAGCATGTGAGTGAGAGGTTTCCATCAACAATGAACAGGTCAAACAGGAACGCTGCCTTGAAGTAGAAAGCTTTTTGACTGGTCTCCAGCGATAGCATCTCCTCTATAGAGTATCACATTAACACACTCATATCTTACAGTAATATCCACCCTGATGGCTGACTGCAGTGATAGTGAATTCAACAGGGAAACATCCCTCTACTAAATGCAAGTCTACATTATTCTCAAGCGAACTTCATCATTTCATATTAAAATGAGAACGAACCTCGTTTTTGTAATGTATGACTGTTTATATGTTGCACACATATAAACTGTATAGAGCTGATGTGAATCAAGGAATGTGGATTATGCAGGCTAAAATGAAATTAAACTCCTGACACAGAATATCCCCACTCAATAAGTCTAAACCTCTACTTGGGTTCAGGTGGGAATTTAAAGGCCAACGTGCTGCCGGTTCGCCATGTAACTATCCGGCAGGCCCATAAATCGTCCATTGCCCCTATGCAAGAACCATAGGGGACTGCACTGTTATTAAAAAGGAAATCCAATTTATAACCTTTAATCAAGTGGGCCACTGATTGCTTTTGTGGAACAAATGGAGGATATTGCAAGGACTCTGTCTGTAATGAAAACCCCAATGACTTTCATTCACAGCATAAACTTAAGAGAAAAAAAAGAGAGGGAGGGAGATGGAGAACGAGGAGCAGGACAACATGAGATGGACGTAGAAGCTTCTTGTTTCTACTTACCCGACCTACTAAGACGGGATCTGGGCCTGTGTACTCCTCAATGACAAAGAACTGGTTCCAGACCCAGCCTCGTTTGGAGCGGTGAAGCACTTGGCCCTCTTTGCCTCTCTCTCTGTGTCTGTGTAAAGAGAGATGGCGGCGGTGGCCACGCTCCCGTGGACCTGAGCCCCTGTATGTCGCTGCTGCTGCAGCGCTCCATAGTGCGGCCCCCAAACACAAGAAGAACACTTGTAGTCTCAGTCCATCCCACATCCTGCCCACACTGTCCACTTCCTCTGGGCCTTCCTGTTCACACCCCTCCTGTGGGTATCAAAATCCAGAGAGAATCCTTGAAATGGTGTCCACTGGATGGTGTGGTCTCTAAAGGGGTTGAGGGGACAGGAGGAGACCTCACTGGATTTGACTTCTGAGATTCATCACAAAGTCATACTTTTCCACTCTTTCTTCTGCTCCGATTCTGAAACAAAAAAGGAGAAAAACATAATTAGTCACATGAGAAAGTATAAGTAGGGTACAGATGTCTAAATTGTCTACATAAAACCTGGAAATACACAGAAAATGTTAGGATAATAAAACATTTAATGACACTCTGAGGCAAAAGATTCTGCACTATTACTAGGTCACAAATCAAATAGAGAAAATGTATGTCATTGATCAGGTGCAATCCTTTTCAGATGTTCTTGCAAAAGTCAGATGTTCTTGTTTCCACTGAAGCACAAGATGTTCTTTGGCTCAAATCATGCTGGAGACCATGATCATCAGGTTTTACAAACACACCTGGGGAGTTCGTGCAGCTCGAGTGCTGCTCTCATTAAAGCAAATGCAGGACAAATCAAACACAAAGACATTCTGAAATGCATGTATCTCATTTCAACTTTTAGTTAAATTGTTATGCTTACAATATAATTTGTAATGAAAACAATTCATTAAATTAAATAAATGTTGCTCTAAGACTTGGACCCCACAGTATATACAACATAACTACTTTTGTCAGACCTCACTGGAATCAAGTTAAATCGAGTGTGTTGAAGTGTATTAATTCATTTTGTAACAGTGTACCCTAAATTAATTAAGCATCAGAGGTTGTAAGCCCATTTGTGCCGATTCAATTAGACATTACACAGCCAGCGGTCTTCCATTGTTGTGGTAAGCTATTCTCTGTAGCAGAATATAAACCACAAGGTCTGCAGGTCTAATGGCTGTTTATTTGATAATGTAACGGAAAATAACTTTCTATTAAATTCCAGGATACCATCTACAGAATAAAGAACACAAAGTGAAGATAATTTTTTTTTTGTAAAAAATAAATAAAACTCCCTCTCTATATAATTCAAAGGAAATTTTTAAAGGAAATTAATACTTTTATTCAGCAAGGATGCATTAAATTGATCACACATGACATTAAAGACATTTATAATGTTGCAAAAGATTTCTATTTCAAATACATGCTGTTTATTTATTTATTTTTTAGTTTATATTAATAAAACAATCCTGAAAAACAATATTAAGCAGAATGACTGCTTTCAACATTGATAATAAGAAATGTTTCTTGAGCATCACATTTCTGGAGTAATGGCTGCTGAAATTTCAGCTTTGCCATGATGGAAATAAATTACAATTTAAAATATATTAAAATATAAAACAGTTATTTTAAGTTTTAACAATAAATTAATAGAAATAAATGCAGTCTTGGTGAGCATAAAACATATTTCAAAAGCATTTAAAAAAAAAAATCTTACTGACCGCAGTGGTGTATAATGTATAATAAACTCAATTATTAACATTAATTAATATTAATGATTATATATCTCATAAAATTTTCAATATAAATGTCACACAAGACCTGTTCTCTAACAGCTGTCAATGTCATCCTTTTCCAGATCTTTATCCTGTGTAAACACTTGTCATGTTACACATCCCATAATTAACCACTTGAGGTGTTGGGTGAAATCCCATAAAGTCTGAACATCGCTCTCTTTCTGGGTGTAGGCGGATGTGGTATGGGAGTGCGGCCCGCTGGGTATTTTCTCATCCACTGAGCCGCTAACAACCTTCAGCTCTGACAACAGCCACGGTGACCCACACACACACGCACGCACGCTGTGCCATCCTTACCCTAATCATATAGTCAAATCCTCACTTTACACACATACGGAGGAGGGGTTTGTTAGAGTGTGAAAGGCACCAGAGGGGTGGATAAGCAAGACAGAAAACTAATCCTAACCAATTGCCAGTCTGCAAAGCAAAGCCCGTAAATATTTCCCAAACAAAGTGCAACCAGCAGAGAACTAGGAAAGTGGGTGCCCAAACTCAGGCAGACCTCCGTACTGTCAGGCCCTGCTCACATTATATTGCTTGGCTGTAAATTGGCATCAGAGCTAGAGAAAGAAGACATTCTATCCCCTCTTTTCATTATTGACTGGCCACCAAAATGTCAGGATTAGGTATGCTCCGATACTCAGTATCGGGATCGGCTCCGATACTGCCATTTTCTGTCGATCGGGTATCGGTCAGATGAGACCGATCTAAATCTGATATTGTGGCTATACTATTCTGTGTTATTGTTAAGCACCACGAAAGGCACAAACACATTATAAAGCACCATAACGTTTTCATGCACTATATTCCAAATATTCTGAAGGCTTTCCATTGTTAAATGTGAGGTTCAGATGAATGTTAAAGTCGTTAAATCCAAGTTCGCGTAAACTCGCTGTGGCTGTCAGTCATCATCCATTCCGCATTCAAACCGTGGGTTGCATTCGGTTACGACAGTCAAGACCATGAAACTCTCTCCAAGATGATTCAATGTTCCAATTATCATACTTGATCTGTAGATAAAGATCAATGGTTTTGCATAAAAGGACTTTATATTGTTGGAGTTTAGTGTTGTTTCTAAAGCATGTTACTTTATACCGGGTGTCTGTTAGATCACTACACTGGAATAAAAAGCACTATGAATTGTTCTTCACACGCACACTAACTGAAATTTAAACCTGTTTAAAGAAAAGACTCTATCGCACAGATATAATACACTACGCATCAGTATGGGATGTGCATAAGTGCTTTGTGCCGCTCTGTATTGGAGCATTTCATATTATAATATTTTTGCGCAATGAAATATTATTAATACCCTTTCTTGTTCTGTGCTATCATATGTTGCTGCCTCATAACTGTGCTATACATTTAAAAGAAATGTCTTAATTTTATATTATATATTTATATATAAATATATTTACTTGCTTTTCATGAATGCATTTTACAACAACAAAAAGAGCAGTGTGTAACATTTTACCAGATTCAGTCCTACACTTAATTACTTTTATTTATTCCCCACTAAATAGTTTTCACTAAATCTTTCGATTTTATAAAATTGTTATGCACTCATGATTTTTCTAGAGTATCTTTTGCTGCTGAATTATCCACTAACCTAGTGTATAATAGTATTTTTTATCATAGATTATGATTATATATTTTTTTCATTTGTTATTTTTCTTTATAATGAAGTTGTCTATATTTAGTAGATTGTGTTTAACACACAAAAGAGTGCTAATCAGATCAACACACAGGTATAGAAATTATACATTGAGAAAAAAAACAACAAAAAAAACTGTGCTGGTATTGGATCGGTATTGGTTTTGGTCGATACGGATCGGTTCTGAAAAATGGTATTGGTGCATCCCTAGTCAGGATGAACTGTTACTTGAAGTGGTTTTACAGCCTCTAAACTCTTCCTCTCAAGGGTGCTTCTTACAAGCACTAGGAATCCAGAGCATTTACCCCGATCAAAATACATTTTTTTAATTACTATTTATTAAAAAAGTACCTTATGCTCACCAAGGCTGCATTTATTTGGTCAAAAATACAGTACAACAGTAATATTGTGAAATAGTTTTGCAAATTAAAATAACCATTTTCTATTTTAATATATTTTAAAATGTAATGTATTCCCGTGATGGCAAAGCTGAAATTTCTTTACTGTTACTTGTGATCAGTGCCCTTTAAAATTATTATTTTATATATACAAATATCATTGTTTGAGGTTGAGATGTACATAACTGAATACTGTATTCAAAAACACTTTGACAATTGTGTCTCACCTTTCAGTATATGTCTTTTGTCTCTTAATTGCAGTTAAAACTATGGTGTAACAGGTCTTCAACAGGAGATTCGTGACTCCTCTGGGTTCTGCACAAGTTTGTGTAAAAACAAAATGAATATACGTATGTATTACCCAAAAGCATAATATTCAGTAAACTTCAAATTAAGAGGTTTATGTTGCGCTAAATGTTCATTGTCTCTCGCTCATTAACATTTACAATTTACAAGTATATGACTGAACATTTGACAATGATTATTTTAATAGCTTTGCAATGTACCATAAGCATAATAGAGTATGTAAATACATTTATATGGCACTATATGCATGCTGTTATAGGCCATTTTATACAATATGTAGCAGGAGGTCCCTGCTCCATCTCTCTCTCCACCAAGGGATCTGAAAAAGGTTGAAGACCCCTGTCATGCAACCCACACCATTCTTCTCAGAATAGTACTCAGCGTTTTTGTAGTCATCAGGGGTACATGCTCTTTGTCTCAAACACCAAACCACTTGATGATTTATAAAAACATTGAGAAATTACAGTAAATGCTCTAACCCCAGAGTGAGTTATTCTTGTCTTACTGAAACATTTGTATAACAAACCAAGTGTAGAGTCACTCAGAGATGGTAAGTGATTCACCAACCCTGCAATGTCTGTAACATCTGTAAAAGTGATACCGTTATTTATCGCGCACTCTTATCGGCCAGACGTCTAAGTGTGTCTCTGCTGAAGGGATTAAAGCTCTAGCATCTTAAAACATATTTGACGGAGGAAATAAAATGCGGATATTGTAGCAGCTTGTTTTGTGTCTCTGGAATGAAGAAACTGCTAGCGTGTACTGTTACGCCTAATGGAGGGCAAGGGAAGAAAATGCCTCAGTGTTTTGGAACCACAAATGATCACCCTGCCTCACAGCCTATAATTACTAGTTTAGTGGGATATATTCAGTGGAATATATTACACGTGCCTTAAACTAAATATTGAATTCTGCACTATAAAATACCAAGACCTTAAGCAGAGTTACAGATTCAGTTGCCACTGCAAGAGCCTTGGGATGAAATAAAGAAACTGCAAAATCTGAAAGGCACTGGAAGTGATCTTCTGGCCCAACTAGTATAAAGATATAAAACAAATAAACAGATGAATGGGTGGATGAATAGATTTCAAAATCCTTAGGAGAAATGTCAAACTGGATCCAGAAGCTCCGTCATGGCCTATTGCAAGCATTCAGAAGTCTGAGAAGAATCTAATTTCCTATCATATTTTCTCACAGCGGAAGGATCTAGAAAAGGAAACGGAGAGCGAAGGAGAGGAAGGGATATGGAATGACACTTGAAATCAAACAGAAGTGAAGCTA